AGATGGAAGCTGAGCCTGCTCACCTCGCGCCTCTTGCCCTCGTTCTTGCTGTACTTGGAGAAGAGGCTGCTGAAGAAGTTGCCGCAGCAACAAGCCACGTGCACCAGCGGCCCTTCCTTCCCGAGGCTCAGGCCCGAGGACACCACCAGCACCAGGGTCACGGTCTTGATCAGCAGGGTCCACTTGCCCAGGTAGCCCCTGATGATGAAGCCGCTCAGGATGGTCTTTATCTGCAACAGAGGGCGGAGCGGGGAGGCGTGAGAGGGCTGCTGAGCCTGCCCCTCATCACGTGGGGGAGGCTGCTTTCGGGTTGGTTCAGCTGTAATTTCACATTAACAGCATTTATATTAACATATAATTTTAATGAGAAGAGATAAGCCAAAGAGCCTATATACTTATAGACACAGCCCATGGGCACAGGCAATAGGGTAGTGAAGGCCTGGAGGAGGGGGTAGAGGGGGGAACTGGGAGATACGTGTAATACTATCAACAATAAGAAATACATTATAAAAAGAAAAAGAAATAAATAGTTGAAAAAAATTTAAAAACATAATCTTACATTCATGGAAATGTGAAACAGTGCAATTCATAGTAAATTTTAATTATTCTTAGAGTAGAAGATCATAATGAGGGCCGAATAAGTAATTATCAGGGTTTCGTTTTATTTGTGGCACTTTATCCTGTTCACATTAGCCTCTGTTGTGTTGAAAAGAGACATGTAGCTATTGATTTTAACTGTTAATTGTTCACTATTGAAAGACCTTGCCCTAGCTGGTTTGGCTCAGTGGATAGAGCCTGTGGACCAAAGGGTCCTGGGTTCCATTCCGGTCAAGGGCATGTGCCTGGGTTGCGGGCTCCTCCCCGGCCTGGGCCCTGGTCAGGGTGTGCAGGAGGCAACCAGTCGATATGTTTCTCTCACATTCATGTTTCTCTCTGTCTCTCCCTCTCCCGCTCTCCCTAAAATCAATGGAAAAATATCCTCGGGCGAGGATTAACAAATAATAATAATAAAATGCAGCCCCAGTAGAGAACCAGTCACTGCTCCATTCCTGACAAGTGTGGTACGGGTATTCCTCATTTCCCAATATTAAGGGATCGTCAAAACCCTCTGTGGCATCATGTCACCTTTTCCAATTTGGGGAGGGTGATGAAGTGAGGCAATCTCTGACATTTTAAAGGGGTGTGAATGGGCCATTTTCATCGCAGAATTATTGATGGAGAAAGATCAAGAGCAAGTGTGAGGAACTCAGGCACCCCTTCCCAGGGAACAACAGGAAGGTCTTTTAGCTGCACAAACAGGGAGTATTTCTTGCACTACCCTCTAACTAATGCCAGACAAACTAGTGGTGGTTAAACCGGCCTTTAACTAGTCGTACTTGGCCTACTTGAGCCCGCGCCCTGGGCATCCCAGATCGGTTTATTTGAGGGATGTTTTATTATGCCTGCCACAATCCTGCGCTTTTGTGTTGCCTTGAATAAAATTATCTCTAATTCTTTGTCAGTTACATAATGTGGACTTGGACCCGAGGGTAGAGTTTAAGAGCATCATGCCATTTAGAAAATTACAAACATCTCAATTACCTGAGCCTCCGCCAGCCGTGACACGTGGTGAACTGAACAATGTAATAGGTATTTTGTAATTCTCTAAAATGATTTTATAAAATTGTCATGATCAAATTAGGGGCTAAAGAAAGCGGACCCGTTCCCAGTATATGCTACAATCCAATCACTTGCTTTCATCTGAATGAACAGAGACCAAATCAAGCAGCACTTTCCCGAGATGAACTGGAGCGGATTTGTGACTCAGTGGGGTGAAGTTTAAACCCTTCCTAGGAAAGAGATCCGTGAAAGAGAGTGTTCAGGTTTTATAATGAAACACCAACTCCGGGACATGATGTCTTACATAGTCAATAGCGGTTCTGATAATGAAGCAAACAGAATGGAAAGA